CCTCCACAGGCTGCAGGGGGACAGCCTGCCTCGCCATGGGCTTCACCAGGGGCTGCAGGGGAATCTCTGCTCTGGCGCCAGGAGCACCTCCTCCCCCTCCTTCTTCACTGACCTTGGTGTCTGCAGAGCTGTTTCTCTCACATATTCTCACTCCTCTCTCCGACTGCGGTTGCACAGGGGTTTGGTTTTTTTTTTCCCTTCTTAAATATGTTATTACAGAGGTGCTATCACCATCGCTGACTGGCGCAGCCTTGGCCAGCAACGGGTGCGCCTTGGAGCCAGCTGGCTTTGGCTCTATCGGACGTGGGGGAAGCTTCTAGCAGCTTCTCACAGAAGCCACCCCTGTAGTCCCCCTGCTACCAAAACCTTGCCATGCAAACCCCATACAAATAATTTGCTGTCCGAGTGCCAGCAATCAGCTGGCCAACTGTAGACAACACCACACACAACAGACTGACTTGATTACTACAAAGGATGCCCGATCAGAGTCTGATAAGAAGGTTCTCAGAGGAGCTCAGGCAGGTGGTAGTGGAAACACATGAACAGGCCCTCCTGTTGTCACTTACACATACTAGCAAGAGAAGCAGTAAAGCAACATGCTGTTCAGCTGATGGTAACACAAGTCATTCTTAAAAAAGGAGTTAACAAAGATAGGAAATAGTCAATCCATGCACAACTGAAGAAGATACTGACCATCAAAGATGATAATAGGCACATTAAAGATGTTTCCCAGGTCCAGAGACAAGAAGCCTGAACTCCTGAGAAATTCATACCTACCTTCAACTGTGCCTTCCTTGGAGTTTGCAGCAAGCCAGCTGGGAATCTTCTTGCAGTCTCTCTGTAATAAAAGGACCAAGTCATTCTCTTGTGCTTTGTAACAGTGTTTAGATGCCACACCATAAGCCAAACAATTGCTTTCCCTAACTGTGCTTGTACAGTGCACAAGAAAAACCCTACCCCAAGAGGTTCACATAAAACAAAACCCATAGTAAAACAAGCCTCTGTGAAGCATTATTTTGTTTGATAATTTCACCCCATGCCCACATCATCGCATTTAGCATGAAAAAAACTCTTTGGAGCAGAGCTATCAGAAGGGGCCCAAAAGGATTTGTAGCTAGGTAGGGGAGAATTTGGATTTAGGGCACCTGAAGAAGTCGCTGCAGTGCGTATGACGAATGAGGCACACTAGAGCCACAGCTGCATTGCTCGGCTGCTTAAACCCATGCACTAACAGTCGGCTTCAGAGCTGTGGCAAATGCATACGCCAGCTACGATGCCGAGCCCACGCAGCACCGCGGCACCCCGTTGAGTGGGGCAGCCCAGCGCGGGCAGGCCGAGCGCCCCACCGCAGCCCCGGGAGGGCAGGGCCCGAGCCCCGCCTGCACACGGAAAGCAGCAGGGCCGCTACAAACGGTTTGCCCGGGCAATGGCCGCCGAGGGAACGACGGGTTTTCTTCCGGGCCCTTCCAGACACCTCAGCGAGCCCCTGCTCCGCCTCACGGTCTCTTGCGAGCCCTGCCGCAGCGGGGCGGGGGACAAGGGGGCCCGGGGAGGCGGCTCACCCCCCGGATCTGCCCCGACACGGGGAGAAGGAGGCGGCGCCTCACGCGTCGGCCCCCTCGGGAGGTCCCGTCCCCACCCGCCCCCGTTTCAGTTCCC